CATGTTATAGAATTATGTTGGATGTAATTTGATTAATTTTCTAGCTTTGATTGGACCAATAAGATTTATGTATTTTAAGTTGTTTACTTTCGTTTGAAATTATGAGATTGAATTATTGTAGCTTTGTGATATGAGACTTTCACTTACTTGTGAGATTGATGTATTTTAAGATATTTATTATCTTGTATTTTTATTATTTCAACAAAATTAACGTTAAATACAAGTTCAAAATTAACATTGAATTTTTATTTTTAATACTTCAATGACATTAAATATAAACTTAAAATTATTTGTAATATAATTTTTTTAATTTCTTAAAAAAATTATAAATATCCATCGATATCCATGGGTATTCAAGAAATTCATGGATACCCGCTTAATGGATACCCGTATGAATATGGGGTGAGTATGATCCCAATTTTTATCTAGCGGGGCAGGGAAGAGTTTACTATTACCCGTCCTCATGGGACCCTGTTGCCATCCCTAGACCAAAATCAATTAAGGTACAAGGTCGAGGGACAAAATTACTAATTAAATACCAGAAGGGACGCAGTATTTGAAGGGTAGTCAGCAAACTAATTTCATATAGACTTAATTATACATGCTAAGACCATGATAGGTTCACACCAAAGTTGTCCTAACCCTAACATGAATAATGAATTTTCCTTAAGTGGCGAAATTCGAGAAATTATTTTATGTTATGATTTTTATCTAGATTTATTGTTGATCTAATAAGCCCAAAAAGATCTCTTTGTTAAGTTAGTTTGGTAAAATCAAATCACTTAGATTGTCCACCTATGTCGTAAGAGATCTCTAAGTTGAAATGTGGGATGACACATTGTGTTGTTGTGTTTATGAGTTGTGTAGTTGACATGCGTTGATACATAGAAAAGTTGTCTAAGTTATTACGTTGTGGAACTATAATGTTGATCAATTGTTTTGTTTGATAGTTGTAACTTTCACAATTTGAGTTGATGTGTTGATTTGTTGTATGCTGTATTGTAAGTTGACATGTTGCAAGTTGAAGTGTTGTTGTGTTGGTTAAGTTGAAAGATGTATGAGTTATATAGTGGGGTTTATACACTATGTTGCTATGCTAAGTGTAAATTGGTAGTATAGTTGTATTTTTACTCCTATACTTGTTATTTTTTTTTTTGGTTCGTCCCTGGAGTATCCACCGCCGACAGCAGTGACTAATCTCCTCGCTACGTTGGAGGCACCTCAAAGGGTGGGATAGCTGGCCCCAAGATTTAACGCGGCTGCATACACAAGGCAGGATTCGAACTCCTATACTTGTTATGTTGTTTATGTAAGTTTATCCTTGCATATTTCTTTGTAATTCAATTGAGATGCTTGTAACACCCCAATTTTCAGAACACTTATTTTTATTTTATTTCCATATTTTATACTAGAAAATATAAAAGCAAACTCAAATTTTTGATACATACAAATATGATCTATATTTTGAGTTCTACTTAATCATGATTTTTAATAATTATTTTGAGTCAAAGTACGAAAAGTTATAAAAATGATGATTTTGCCTTTTATTTCTCCGTAAGATAAGGGTTAACATGAGAAAAAAATGTTCAAGAGACAATAAAATGTTCTTCTCAGCTTATAATCATGTCATATATATATATATATATATATATATATATGAAAATGTAATTTTGTGAATTTTTTCTAAATTTTCATAAACTTTTGAAAAAAAGACCACAATGTCCTTACTTGTTTGCTAAGGCTAACTAGTATCAACTTAGCCTTCAAACCTTGTAAAAGTAGAAATGTCAATTAATTTTTAGATGAAAATACAAAAATATATTTTTCATAAAAATTTGGGTATTTATTAAGTTAAAATAAAATTAATATGAATTTTTAACTCCAAAACATTAAAATAATTAGTAGAAATTCAAAAAAATATTATACAAAATTCTTTTAAATCATATAAAACTTAACTTTTATATCTAAAAAACTATCCCACAAAGTTTTAATAAAAATTGAATTCAATTGATATAAAAAATAATAAATCTTGTACAAAAAACATTCTTGAATCGATACTAGTACAAAAAAAGTCTTCGTATAAAGATAGTAAGAAGAAGAGGAGGAAATTACTTTTCTACCCTTGTCACCCCTCCTTGCAACCCAAGTCCTTTTTCTTTATCTTAAAAAAAGTGCAATTGATTTAAATGAAAGTTAAGTAAATATTACATCATACATTAAAATTTATCTTATCCTAAAGCTTATAAATTTCCAACCAACCCCCTATTCTTCATACACAAAAGCCACAAAGAACCCCTTTCCCCTTCTTCCTCAAATTTTCCCCTATCTCTTTCTTTTACACTCCTAAACAACACTATGATAACCTTCCAACATGGTTCACCATGATACTAATTATCTCTCCTGCCTCCATAGCTCCATTTAAAGATACCAAAGAGCTTCTCTATAACTTTACTACTATTTTTCACTCATCCAAGATAAGAAGGAGTGAGAATTAATCTCTTGTGTACTCATTTTTTTAATACTAATGTTTATATATTGTATCATTATTATTATTATTGCTTCACTATAAATTCAGTATTCTATTGTATTATGGAAATTGTGAGAACCAATCTAGATGTTATTTTGTTAAATTATTTTGGAGGAAATACTTTAAGTTAAGGGGAGACTCTGCCAAAATTTCCCATAAATTTTTAAAAGTTATTTTATATTTGTCTAGAACCAAGAAATTTTATCTATAAAATTGTCAGCCTAGAACTGAATTAAAATTTCATAACTCTCTGTCTACTTATCCAAATGATACGAAACTAGTCTTGTTCGAAACTAGACTTAAAATGTTTTAATTTAGACTATATAATCACTCAAAAAGGATTTTAAATGAGGGAGATAATAACTCTATAACATTGCATATAAGTTTTGGAAATTCATGATAAACTACCTGACTATATGAATTTACTATATCAACTACGATTGGTTTTCAAAATATTTTTATATATTTCAAAACTAGACTTGATGAACTTTTCATCTATATAACTTTTATAATTTGCAAATAAGATTAACTATTTAAAATAAAATTGTTTTATGGGAAATGAATATGGAGTTTCCAGAATTCTTGGAAACTATGAACATCATATTCAAAAAATTACTATAAATTATTTAATACGAGTTAGATCATGATTTTTGATTTTCTGGGAAATCATTTAAATGTACTAAACACTACTAAAATATTTAACTATTTTTATAAGGTTATGAACCTCAAATTTTAGTTTTTGTATAAGTAGTTCACTGGAAAATTCTTCAAGAGCATGTGAGATTGTGTGAATTTTCATAATTTTGCTAAAAACACATTTTACCATTGTAGAAACTAAATATATATATTTTTTCAGCGATATAAATATTTAGTTTTTATTTTTTTTCTATTTTAAAAATATACTATAAACAAATTGACTACTTAAAGCAAACCAATAGAGTTGCATTTTAACTAGTTTCTTAAATAAATAGATTTTTAAGGGGTTTTATTCCAATTATTTAGTAAAATATTTTCTTATTAAGTTAATTCTTTACTATTGAGGATAAGAAATAAATAACAAAAAGTTGTTTTGATCATTTACTATGATTTATCATCTAGTTTACTATTTTTTCAAGATAAAATTATATATTATCAAATAAATTTTTATTTTATATAGTTATGTTTCTTTCATAAATAAATATATTGTTATATATCCTTTCAAACTCAATAAAAATATAAATAATTATAATTTCTATATTTACTTTCCACTAATTTATCTAACCTTAATTTTTACTATAATAATTAAATTTATAATTATGGATTGATACTATTATATCTTAGCCCTAACGTGTCATGCGAGAAATTCCTAAGAATAAATGTATAAAGATTGGTGCTTAAAGTGTTTGAGACCAAAAAATTCTTTAAAAATAGATGTTTATAATTATATCATAAGGAATATAATGACGTGACGACACAATGCCTTGCACTCGAAGTTACAATTTAATAAAGTTGAGGGATCAAAGACAAGGAGTTTTACACTAGTGGGTAAGATTGTGGATTGATATTGTTGTATTTTGACCCTAATGTATCATGTGAGAAATTTCTAATAGTAAGGGTACAATGTTAAAGATTGGTGCTCAAAATGACTAAGACAATTTTTTTTTTTGAAAATAGATGCTTACGACCATATCATAAGGAATATGATGACGCGAGAAACATGTGACAACATGGTACCTTGCACTGGAAGTTACAACTTAGTAAAGTGTTGAGAGATAAAAGGCATGGGGTCTCACACTAGTGGGAATATCTTATGGGTAAAGTGTTGGGTGGTTGAGAAAACCAAGGGTCAAGATAGCACCTTTTACTTGAATCTTCACTTAACCAACTCGACAACCCTAACAACTATTATAGCATTCTAGAATTGGTGTGAGAGTATGTCTCAAATTTGGACAACAAAAAAAGAATTCTATTGATATATTGAGATTCAACCAGAAGATAAAATTGCACCATTTATAAGTAAAAATATATGTATTCTTAACTAAAACATGTATCTTCATCGTATACATAGAAGTTTTAACAACTTAATTAATTATGATGTTAATTTAATTAACATACAATCAATTACAAATTTATAACCTTAGCAACATAAAAATATCAAATATACATTATCTCATATTAATAGACAATAGATTACCATTACAACACTTTTCATCGATTAACCCATGCTCTACGCCATTCTTTGTATGTTCCATGTTATTCGAATAAAGAGTTTTTATCTCCCTCACGTTAGTCACCAATCCACCTGTGTTTGCGTCTAGGGTGGAGGAGACATAGAGCTCTTAAGAAAACTGAGTAATCTTGGTTAAAGTCATTGTTGATTGCAACGTCAGGAAAAAAAAGAAGCCTGATTTGAGTCCCAGTGGAACAAACACGTGTCCTGTGGGTCCACGTGGACATGCCGGTAGGGAATTACAGCCAAGAATTATATCCCACACCGAAGAAACTCGCTGACTGACTCATCATCACCAAACAAACATTCCACGCTTCCATTCTCTCTCACTTTCCATCTTCTCTGTCCCCGCTGGCTTCGGACATCGGAGCCTCAAATTCGCCACATTCTCCTATCCCCCTACCCAAACACCCACTCTCCCTTCTCTCTCTCCACTCCACTCCACAATTCAATCCAATCCAATCCAATCAAATCTCCTCCAAAGAAGAAAATAAAACAAGTTAGGGTTTCGCACTCTAATAGAGAATGAGTTTTCAGGACATCGAGACTGGCCGCTCCTTCGCTTCCCGCCGCAACCTCGTCAACGGCAGACAAGACCCCACGCACGCGGTGGCTTCCGGCATATTCCAGATCAACACCGCCGTCTCCACCTTTCAGAGACTCGTCAACACTCTCGGAACCCCCAAAGACACTCCCGAACTCCGCGATAAGCTGTCAGATCATCACTCTCTCTCTCTCTCTCTATTGTTGTTTGCATTGATCGGATTGCGTGACGCTTCTCGTTTAATGTCACTCGCAGGCACAAGACGAGACTGCACATTGGACAATTGGTGAAGGATACTTCGGCTAAACTTAAGCAAGCCAGTGAGATTGATCACAATGTTGATGTTAATGTAAGGCATTCTACTTTAATTGAGTATTCAAATAGTCTTAGACTTGTTTTGTCGATTTCTGTGTTTCAAAAACCACTGAATTTGTTGCTGAGGTGGTACTTTTTGTAGTGTGCGATCTAGCTTAAAATGGTTTTGGATTCGTTTTCGAAGGAATGCATGTGTTGTGAATGTTTGTTATAGTTTGTGCACTGATTTTTTGGGTGACGGCATCTTGAATTGTTTTTTCGTTGAGGAAAGAAAAAGAGGCATTCAATGTCTTGCTTGTATATGTGCAGGCGAATAAGAAGATAGCAGATGCTAAGCTTGCAAAAGATTTTCAGGCGGTGTTGAAAGAGTTTCAGAAGGCGCAGCGTCTTTCAGCCGAGAGGGAAACAGCTTACGCTCCTTTTGTTCCAAAAGCAGCTCTTCCATCCAGGTGATTAATAAACTGTTACTGGAATGTTAGAATCAGTCATTAGTTGTCAATAAATATTATTGATCCGGTTTTATCATTGTTGTTCTGCTCTGGAATAGCGTACTAGAAATAACCTGTCAAAACTCGGAGCATTTAAAAAGTGTCCTTATTTTGAGCTGGAACCCTGTTTATACCGAATTATATTCTAAGAGCAAATTTCTTATTTTTTAATGTGATCCCGTAAATCACACGGAATGTTACTTATTATTATTAATAATCTGAGGTTTAGTAACAATGGATAATAGGGAATTTAATGTGTATATCGAGAACGAAACTTTACTCCGGATGACAGGGAGCGGGTGACAGTCAATCTCCCATCTCAAAATTTTCATACAGGAGCACCATGGAATTCCCATCGAGAGGCAGGCTTTATCATTGAACACCATTAATTTGCAAGATGATGTTTTCATCAACCAAGCCGGCTTCCACAAAGACAATGCTCTTCTACTTCGCTTCACTGCTGTTTTGGAGAATTCAGTGGGTAATGTGCACATGGCACCCGCTGGCAATAGCTTGCAAGTTTTCATCTTGGAGAATGGGGGTTCATTCTTGATGAATATTAACTATTCGGATTCTATTATCCAAGTAAAAAGAAAAATCAGAGATATGCCGTTGTTTGCAGTTGAAACTCAAAAGATTAGAATTGTACTGTCTGGGCCTTTTGTCAACTGTGTTTATTGACCTGACCTCTAATTGACTGGGCATCGGCTATCAAACCCCTTTTGTCTTTGTTAGAATAGGACTTGGTCAATGGTCGATTGCTTCGCAATAGCAAACGAGACAAGGCGTCAGGATTTATGAGATCATACATAATAATAGTCATAATGACATGATTTGTGGGATAAAAGTTATAATATCATGAGTTGTGGGATTGTTAATAGTAATAAGTAACATTTCGTGGTTTATGGGATTGCCCTAAGAAATAAGGGATTCGCTCCTACAATATAATTTCAATATAAATAGAGATCTCCGACTCAATTGGCAAACAAATTACACTTTTTGAATGCTTTGACTTTGGACAACTGCTAGATTATTTATAGTATGCTATTCCAGATCGGAACAACTATAAATATTCTGATTGATTTGATTAAGTTGTAAATATTCTTATTGATTAATTAGGTTAAGCTGTAAATATTCTGTAAATTAAAGAATCAGCCTCTATTGTGCTCATATTGTGATCGGAATATCCTATTTCCTTTCTTGTTGTAATCTGTGATTTTGGCATATTACACCCTATTTTTATATTCCTTTCTTGTTGTAATATGTGATTTTGGCACATTACACCCTCTTTTTACAAGGGGATGGTCAGTCGCAAATGGGGTTTTAGTTTTTCTAATGACCGGGTCATATGGACCCAAGCCAGATTCTTGCTCGTTTCAAACTCACACGGGATCAATGATCTCACAATTGAACTGGGAGGATCATGAACACATTGCCATCCCACTCACCAGTGATACAGGCAACTATTCAATACAGCCAAGGCAGCTTGGCCCCTAGGATTGTGTGATCCCATGATCTGATGCATGATTTTAAACAGCACTGTGCGTGTGACTTGCATAGAAGTAGCTTTATGGATTGAACTGATTCTGATCAATGAATAATATGTTTCATTTGGTGAACTGTTGCGCTTCTTTAGTTGGTGCTTGTGTGTTGTTGTTTCTAATTTCTATTTTTTTATTACCTGTGCATACAATACCTATGATATGCACTTTTCTTTTGCTTGCAGCTATACAGCCAACGAAACAGACATTAGTTCTGATAATACTCCAGAACAGCGTGCCCTTCTTGTGGAATCCAGAAGGTGATTTCTCTTATCTTATTGATAGTGAATGAGTGATTTGAAGATTTATCTTCATGACAGTATTTCCTTTTTTATCATACTTATCAACTTTGGATTATTATCATTTATAATATTTGATGTGACTATTCAATATTTTGAATGTAATTTTACATCAAATATTAGTCAAACATTTGCAGGTTTATGAAGCTGGAATATAAGTGATAACAAAAACACATTATTTCCCTGTTTTGTGTGGTTTGATAGAACTGGCAACATGATAACTGGCAGGATATACTCATCATTAAGTTGGATGAAAAACTTAACATCAATTTATTTATCCAAAGGTTGCTTCTCAAATTCAACCAATTGCATTTTTAATATGTGGTGGCATTGAAACTGTGTTATCTTTCTTTTTCTGTTTTTCCCTGGTGGGGCAAGGGAGTTGGTGATGTGATCAGTGACAGGATTCTGCCACATTTTTAAACATGATAAAAAACTGAACTTGCAGTTGTTATACTAGAACACTACTTTTCAAGCTCGACCATTTGCATTGTTTTATTTCCTAAGCTATTGCATTATTGTTGCCACAGACAGGAGGTATCATTCTTAGATAATGAGATTGCCTTCAATGAGGCTATCATTGAGGAAAGAGATCAAGGCATTCAAGAAATCCAGCAGCAAATTGGTGAAGTAAATGAGATTTTCAAAGATCTTGCTGTGCTTGTCCATGAGCAAGGAACAATGATTGGTAACATAGTTTTTTCCCCTTGTGTTTTTGTTAAGTATACAAATTATTGTATTAAATCTATTTTTCTATTTTAATGTCTAGACTTGTTTATGTTATTTGATGTCGAGAATTTCTATTTTGTAGACGATATTGGGTCCAATATTGAGCATTCCCATGCAGCAACCGCACAAGCAAAATCTCAACTTGCCAAAGCTTCAAAGACGCAAAGATCAAATTCATCTTTGGTAATATATAAATTCTCTTATTTATTATTGGATTATTCGTTTTAGGTCCTCTTTTTCTCACATAAATTTAAATGTGGAACTTCTTGAATATGATTCTATGGGCTAATTGAATTGAATCCTTCATGACATCAAATTGAACTTACGCAAGGCTACACTTCATTGGAATGACAAAGGCCTTGTCTTGCACATTTTAAATCTATTTTTGGGCGTTGATTGCTTCTTTGATGGTTTTCTGTTTGCATAGTAGATACCATTTTAAGTATCTGTTGAGAGAGGGATTTAATTTTGGGGGCATGGTTGTGGGGTGGTGATTGATGATGGATAATATAACAATTACTTTCAGTTCAATTTTCTAATTATGGATGATTATATCATCCTGTTCTTTGATCCCACTTTTTGAGTTTTTTTTTCCCCCTTTTAAAGCTTCCAGTTTCTTTGTTAATCTCGAATGTTCTTGTTTGTTATTATTTGTAGACATGCTTGCTTTTGGTGATATTTGGGATCGTGCTTCTAATTGTCATCATTGTCCTTGCTGCTTAGTCAAAGACTCAATTCTATTATGAATCAGATGCACTATTTACTGAGCTGCAGATAGGATCTCCCTCGATGATGATTACACTGAATGAAATTTTACCAGATCTCATGAATACCGTGGCCTTGTCTCATCAGGTTTCAGTACAAGATGTGGGAATATTAACATTAGTGTATCGTTATTTTATTGTGGGGTGTATGTTCTTGTTTCTTGGTGTTTGGGGCTTTAAGTATGTGGCACAACCTGCTTGTTGTGCAAGTTATCTTTTTGTTTCCTTAATAAAAGAAATATTAATTCGTTCTTTACCTGTAAAGTCAACTTGGAAGTTTGCATTGCTGACATTTCTTAGCAATACTTCGATTAAGGATTTTTTTTTTCTTCCTCCCTTTGATGTGTGGGGTTTTCCCAAATTTGGATGCATGCTCCATGTAAAATAATGTAACTTAGATTAAAAGAGATTTAAAAGCAATATCATAGTTTTAGAAAATTATAACAGTCCTTGAATCTAAGTTTATAATATTACAAAAACAGTTTTTGAGTCCGAGTTTGAAATATTACAGAACAGGCCCTATAATGCACCTCTTCACCACCTCTCCTGTGAACCCTTCTAGCTGGAGCTGCTGTAATTCCCCCAACTCTCCATCTTCAGAAATCAATCACTTGCAACTGACAATCTCTTCTTGTCACCATTTCTCTCCGTGAGATTCAAAAGTCACGAACTTCACTAATAGTTTCTTATTGTCCGTAATATGTGTATGAATTTTTTTTGTCAGTCATGGTGTATCCAATGCAAGGTGACTAACAAACAAGCATAACACTTCGAGATTCGAAAGGTATATATATAGAGGAGAGTTTAAATGACACTGGTGTAATTTTTACTAAGTGTTACACCGCTCAATAACTTTATATTAAATGCGAATTTTATAAATTCAACCGTTAAATTAAAAGTTCACATCACTTAGATCATATATACAAAATTTTATATTAATCTAAGAAGATTTGATACTTTTTTTTTATAAAACAAAATTGACGTAATATATTCATTTCAAAATATACTAAAATATGAACATTTTGATCACTTTTAAATTGTTCAATTTTAGCAAAATTTGATATACACATATAAAATGATATGAATTTTCAATCTAACGGTTGGATTTACAAAATTCACAAATAATATAAAGTTATTGAGTGGTGTAACACTTAGTAAAAATTATACCGGTGTCGTTTGAACTTTCCTCATATATATATAT